CAAGGAATTGTTGGGCTCTCTGCAGCCTCAAGATAGAATTTTAGTATCACAGGCAAGTACTTTCTTTGTCTTAGTGGGTTTGGGTGCCTCAGGAATGCTCCCTTATTACAAATTATTTGCATCAAATTTTCCCCACATTTCCGAGACTTTCAAATAATTTTTACTATGATGACATCTCTGTCCTTTCCCAGTGAAGCGATGTAGAGTCATCTCCTTCAGTCTCACCTTGTAAGCCATTTCCTACCATTGGACTGTCTCTTAGCCAGTTTGGTGTAGTGGTTAAGTACGCGGACTCTAATCTGGGAGAACCGGGTTTGATTCCCCACTCCTCCACTTGCACCTGCTGATGTGACCTTGGGTCAGTCACAAGCTCTGGCACAGCTGTCCTTGAAAAAGAGCAGTCTCTGTCAAGAGCTCTCTCAGCCCCACCCACCTCACAGGGTGTCTGCTGTGGGGAGGGGAAGGGAAAGGAGTTTGTAAGCCGCTCTGACACTCCAAGTGAAGGGCGGGGTATAAATCCAATCTCTTCTCTTCTCTTCTTCTTAGCTCTCGGTGTCAGGTCCTGGACTCAATCACTCTCATCACATTCTTGTAGATGGAAGATTTGTTTATTTGGAGGTAAAGAGATTCTAAGCATAAACCAATTCTGTGTCAGAACTGGCACCGGATGCCAGGTCCGACCCTATACAAAAAGCAGGACAGCCCGCCTATGCAAACCACCCAATCAGTGTTCTCACTCAGCCCACCAAAGCTCTAGGCCTACCCTCAGGCCCGGCCCAACACCTGCAAACTAGTGGTTACATTCCAAGGTCAAGCGAGAAGCTGAGATCATGTGCTTCCCAGGGTCTTGCACGCACTACGCAAGCTCAAGCAGACATTCACACCAGCATCCACTCCCCACTCCCATCCTGGCAGAGAAAATAAACAGCACTGGAGATAAAAACAGTGAAAGAAGCACGTCTAAGAAAGCAGCTAACCCCTAACGCAACAGACCAGGAGTTTGGCTGGACAGCATTCTATGGCAAGTGAGGCCCAAGCTTGACATGCGGGATCTTCTCATGTTCCCTCTAAGCTGAGTTAGTATGAGCTAGCTCACAGTTTTCTAGCCTACAGCTCACACATTTTTGTCTCAGCTCAGGAAGGGTGACTCCAGAGTAAACTAAATTATGCAGTAGACAAATTGCTTGCTCACAACTTCAATGTCAGTAACTCACCAAGTAGAATTTTTGCTCACCAAGACTCCACAGCATAGAGGGAACATTGCTGATGACCTACTTGAAGTAGGCTCTCAGTAGAGGGGCTCATCTCCTCTTTCTCCCATAATCCTGGCACTTCCATCTTTGCATATACCCTGCAGAATCACATTCTCTGCCATGCTGTTCTTTTACATATCTAGTTTGCTGCCTGAATCTTTCTCTCTGTTTTCTCCCTCCCACTGAATATCTGTGTTTGTATTTCCCCAGATGGATTAGCTGCATTTTCTGACGAGAAGCAGCCCGTGCTGTTACTTAAGTGGGATGGGGGTTGTCCCAAAATGTGTTTCTTTCTACACACTTGTGGGTGGATGTGGAGGTGTGGTTTTTTTTGGAAGTTTGTATATACTGGATGACAGTGGCGGTTCCTGAGCAATGGGCCCTTGTTTCATGGTTATCTATCCCAGAGGCAATGCTAGAGTTTGAAAAGAACACCTGGGGGTGCATCAGATCTGAAACATCAGCTGGTAATTGACTCCATGGAAGACAGAAAAACCAACATATTGTTCTGGAAAAAGAATCCCCATCACCTTCACAACCATCTGGAGTTAGACTAATTCAGAATGACTGTCAGTCATGATGCCAGATATATAAGGCAGAGGGGGAGTTGGTACCAAAATAACTAGCCTCCCAGTGGTGACACACTGAGGGAGTTACTCAGGATCAGGAAAGTGCAGGGCTGATATTTGCTCACTATGTTTTTGCGGAGGATCTGATTCGCTTGCTGGGGAAGCCAGTGCAGAGACAATGATTCATCTCGAGGAGGCTAGACCCGTAGCTGAATCTGGAGTCTTCACATACCATAAAAATGTGAATTTATATACCACTTCTTGATTTATTACTCATGTATATTAGGTAGGTGCAGGAATTCTATTTATTTTTCCTGTAACTGAAGGGATACTTTTTACACCACAAAGGTCCTCTGGGTTGAGAAGCTTTTATGGCCTGTCATCTGATTTTTGCAACAAGAACCTGTTTCTTCATCTACTATTGTCATCCCCAAAGTGATGTCCACACACCTGCCGCTGTGTTTTCCAAGTGCCCACTTGCTTCTTCACCAAAGCAAAGAACCAATCCTGACATCCGTCCATCTCACTGGAGGAGGTGGCAGTTCTGAAGAGCCCAGCAGGCATCTGTAGGGAGCACCCATTTGGAAACAGTGGCCTCCATTGGAGGAGGATGCCTGGCTTGGAGCCCCCTGATGTTTTGTTGAACATCCAATATTTGACCTAGCCCGTGGCAGCCATTTTGTGATCTTGCCCAATACCAAAGCTGCCCACAGTTTCAACAAGGCTGGGAACCCCTGATCTGCTGTGTCGTAGTCAGGGTTCATTTAGTAGAAAAGGAGGTGCAGGAGCTCATTAACATAACTCATTTGCTTATGCCACACACCCCTGACATCACCGGAAGTGTGTCAGAAGGCAACACCCACCGCTCAGGCTCCACTGGACTCTTTTGGATTGCTAGCTATTGGGGGGGGGGAAGAGAACATGCAGATCTGTCCTCGCTGAGGAGGGAGAGCTTGTACCTGAATAAAACTTGGCCTTAAAGGTGCCTGTAACGATTCCTTGTTTTTGGTGTGTGTGTGTCTCTTTAAAAGTTTGGTTGCATGGCTGTGGTAAGTAGACTAGAGTGGTTGAGAGAGGCAAGTGTGGTATGATTGGTGGTTGACAGAGAGGGGGAGGGGTTTTGGAAGTGAAAATGAGTGGATGAGTATGTATGTCAGTCAGGTTTTACAGTTACAGGTTTGACAGTTGATAAGTTCAGTTAGTTCTGTGTGTGAGGGAAGTGAGAAGCAGTCCTGTGTGGAATAAGTTAGTTCAGTGAGAAACAAAAGGAAGGCTGAGAGAATAGGAACAAATAAATGAAAGTTTAATTGAGGACAAGTTATAGGAAAGGCTGTATGTCCTGGAGAGAAACAGTGAACATATATGACCTTGAGTTAAAGTGTTACAAAGTTACCTGAAAGATCCCTGTCAGTAAGGGAGCAGATTGTGTGTGATACACCAAGCAATTGTTCATTATTTACACATTACTAGTTACATTGTACTACCATCTTATTCATGCTTTATTTTAATAAATCCTCTTTCATTCAAGTATACTACCCTCTTATTCATGCTTTATTTTAATAAATCCTCTTTCATTCAATTATACCAGCTCTGAAGGAAATACTTCCCAGGACCACATAGTCCCTCATAAGCCTTGAACTCGGTCTACCTAACCAGTAAGAGCAGAAGTAAAAGCATAAAGGTTTGGAAATCCTTAAAATTTCCTGGTGGCAGCCGTATATACCCAGTAGAACAAAATAAAAAGAACTCTTTTAAAGTGAAACCAGTCCTCCCCAATAAGGAGGACGTCACAGTGCCACTGGACTGTTTGGGACTGGGGGGGGGGGCTCTGCAACTTACCTGGCTGCTTCTTGCTGTGACTCAGGGCCGCTGGGAGCAGGGGGTGGGGCTTGTTGTATGTGCCCGCCCCCTGGGCTCTTTACTGCCGGAGCTCCTGCAGGAAATGACCCCTGGTCATAGTGGTCCCATGCCTTTAATCAGCAATACTGATATGGCAAGGCACTCATGAGCATGGCAGCTCTGGTTGTGAAGGCAGCTTTAAAATGCTGTGTATCCCCCACGTTCACATGAACATTGTTACAGCCTTGACATGAACATTGGACCTATAGCTTGTCTTGCTCCCTCTTCTGGGATGGGCCCAGCTACAAAGCACTGATTCCAAGTTACAGTTACCCTGCCCCAAAGGAAATGGTACGATTTTCATTGCTACGGTAGTCCCTCCCAGGCCCGTAGGCAGGGTTTTTTTTAATGCCCCCCCTGCACCCCCCCCCAAGGGAGCGCCCCGGCTGGATGGGAGGTCGTGGGGGGGGGGCCTGGCGTCAAGCGGCTACTGCGGGCTGGTCCCTCCATCGACTCCAGGCTCGAGAGGTGGCTGCAGAAGCACCAGCCGTGGCAGAAGCGAAGGGAAGCCTGTCCTGGGCAGCCCTGGGGGGGAGGAAGCGACGGAGAAAGCGCTTCCCAACCCCCCCCCCCCCCCCCCCCCCCCCCGGCCCCCCCCCC